TCAGAGGGCATGAAAGATGGCAGAATGCTTAGAGAGACAGAAACAAAAAGTGAAAAAGAGAAATAAGAGAGGGAATTACTTAGAGAGATGAAAAAGGGGAAAATAGGAAGGGGGCCCTTAATGTTGAAAAACACGTATATATTTAACTTCGGGAATTGTAAAGAAGCATATCCTTTATATTAAAAAGGAGAAATAAATTGAAATAAGGGAGCTTTAACCAGGGTAAAGATGTAATACAGTGGGTTTTCTTTTTAGGTAAATTAAACTAGATATAAGGTTGGGGCATGGATCTCGAACTACTTTTATTAAGAATATTAGAAGATCTTGAGAATATTGTACACTATGAAACCGATATTATGATAGTAGCCATATTATATACTAAAATACGTCCATGAATGGTTTGAATGTTTGAAAGATGTTTGGAATTTGGAGCGACAACTGGGAAGACACTGAGATGTAAAAAACAAATAATTGTAAGCAAATCATGTAACACGATGTTTGACAAGCACAAATCAAATGTAGATAGAGTGAAAAACTAATAAACATTTTTTTAAAAAAAAATTTCTCTGGAGATGGACTTGTAACCTTGAGATTGTTGATGTTTTTCCACAATTTGTTCTCTCAAATCCACAGAAAACTCTTTACACTTCATTTTTTTCTCCATGCTCAGTGTCACACATAATACAAAGGCTGAGTCAGCTTTTCTCCATCTTAACTGGTTGCAAGTGTGATTACTGTATTGCCCACACTTGCAACAGGTGTGTCTAAATACAAATTAAAGGAGCATCACATACTTGACAAGCAGTTATTTCTTACATTTTAGACAGGGTGCCAATAATTTTGGCCAGTGCATTTTGGGTTTCTGTGTGGGATTGTATCAGATTTGACTTCTCTACCTTTTTGTGTTGTTCCTGTGCAAACCAAAGAAATGAACATGTGAGTACCAAAATAGTTGCAACTGCAACAATTTTATGAGAAAAGGGCTGCATTTTCTGACAGAATTGCAAGGGTGCCAGTATTTTTGGCCATGACTGTAAATGTGTAAAAGTCTTACATAGCAAAATGACAAAGGGGATATTGGTGGGTTGGCAAGCTTACTTCTTTCTACTTTTGCTGCTTACTTACTAGATGCATTCTAATGTGCTATTATTATTCAAATTAACTTGCTTTTAAAAAGTTACAATTGCAATTTTTTGTTGTTGTTTATGAATGTAAATTTATGGTTTATTGACAGTACCTCACTGCGATATTTGCTTTCCCCTGCTATTGAGAAAACATGTGGAAGTATAATGGAAAAACTGAGTGGCAGAGAACTTGAGCGAGTAGCAGCGTTTCCTGGTGTAAATGATGATGAAAAAGTCTTCCACATCCCAGGTGGTGGCATCACAAAAGTGTTGTTCACTGAGAGGTTGGTGAAGAAATAAAGAATTAGTATTTAAAATGACCGATAGAAGAGATGGGAAGTTCTGTCTTGTTGCCATCCTCATTATCATTATCGGCAAACTTAACAGACAGATTATAAGTTATTCCTTTTTTCCATTTCTGCAGTGCATCTTAATGGTGGTCAGATTTTTCATTGTTGTGGAGTGTCCTGTTTCTTTGATAGTGTTCCGGTCCCACTCTTCCTTTCTTGCTAATATTTACAATAGTAATATTTTGTTCCCCAATTTCAAAATATCTGATCAATCTAAGAATTTAATTTTGACCCAGATGCTCTTGCATGGGCTATGCTCATGTTTTCTTATATTGCAAAGCACCTTTGCTGCAATTATGCATCTTCAGGCTCATTAGAATGGAGAGGTTTTCTTTTCTTTTTACTAAAATAAGAGTCTTGGCTTAGCACATGTGTGAGAGCAGCAATATAATACGTTCATAAATGAAAGCAATTACCAAATATTCTTTGTTATTCTGCTCTTCTCCTCAGATCCATTCTAATCTCCAAACCTAAAGAAAGTGTCTTGGAGCCCTTGGGTGTAATGTAACCCTGCCTCCTACAGCCATGCACTCCATGACTTGAGGTCCTCTGTTAGGCTTACCATTTATTTATTTCTGACTGCTCATCATAATTCTCAACATTCCAATGGCTATCATAGTTGTTTTCTGAGAATCTCTCTTGTGGAGAGTGCACTTGATGGCCAAGACCAGGCTGAAAGCCTAACTGAGCAATACTGCTTTATGTCAAGGATACAACTATGGTTACTAAATAATAAAACACAGTAATTCACTTTCATGCCCACTTAAGCTAGGTCCGGACATGTTTTTAAATATTTCTTTTGGAGGAAAAGTCCAGTGTGCCACTGAAAACAAAAGTGCTTATGTGGAAATTTCCTATTCAGTCGTTTCACTGGTTTCATTTTTATTCCAGTTGTTCAAAAGGAATTCCAATGGCAGTCCTGCTGAAATTCTGCTCGGAGGGGGACAATATCCCCGATGCTTTTGCGCTTGCTGATTATCTTAATGAATGGCTTAAACTGACTGAAAACCAAGTAAGTGCTTATCACCAACATATGCAATAGGTTTTCTCCCAAGTTTGGGGAGTGAAACTGTAGTATTATTTCAGTGTGTAGACATTATTCTGTGGAACTTTTTTCTTTTTATTTCCAAAGGCAGTAATTACTAGGAATAATAGTTACTTAGTAAAAATGCTATCAAATGTGAGGCAGTGAGTTCTTGATGAGCTTCCTAGATTAGTAGTTTTATAGGTTTTTTTGATCTTCAGTCAGTTTGTTTCCTGAAAGAGGCTCATGTATTTGTTACAGAATCTGTCAGAATATTATTTGGGATGTGTACTTTCTTTCCTGTTTGAAACCTATGCCAATCCTGTGCAAAAAGATTTTTGCTTTGCATCAGTAACCAGAATCCTAATGCCAATTTATGCTTGTTTGAGAGATAGGGCACCAGTTTATTGCATAAATCTTAGTGGCAAACTGCAGCTCATTAATGAGGTACAGGTTGCATTCCTCCGTGGATATCCAGGAACACAATTAGGTGCTTGTTAATGAGTAGCAATCTGATGCTAAGATTTACACAATTAGCCTTACACAAGCTTAAATCAGCAGGAGCATTTTGGTCATTGCAGTTGCGATCCAAAGAAAATTGCAGCTGTAGATTGCATTGGCAAAAGTAGTAGTGAGGTGAGCAAGTACTTTCAGGAAAGCTTGTTTATATTGATCTCCCTGTGTAGGCACTATAAGGTTCCAGGTTCCTTGAAGCTCACATGGACTGATAGCTGCAGGTCCATCAGAACATTGTTGCCTTAATAGCCATTAACTGAATGCTAAAGACTGTAAAAGGTGTTTTGATAGCTTAATGTAATTGAATCATTTAAATTTTCTTTCTTTCTTTCTTTCTTTCTTTCTTTCTTTCTTTCTTTCTTTCTTTAAAACAGCAGGCTGGCAGTTGTTCACTACAGTCCTCTAGATGGAAAATACCAAGTTCCTGGAAATTACTTTTTGGAAGCGGACTCCCACCTGCTTTGTTTTAAATTCCTTGCTGCTGGCTTTTGTAAAACCTACATTTTCTGTTTTGAATTCTGAAATGAACAATAGCATTTCCTGATATACCACATACAATGTAACAGGTTTCAAATGTCTAAAAGAGTGATGATTATTTTGGAAAGGATGGAGGAGTAGAAAGAGTGCTTGAAGCATGTGTGGTGATCTTGTGAATAAATTCAAGAATTCTGCACAGTGGAAGTGATTAAATTAAGGTGGCATTGATTTATTTATACACAAAAGATGAAAAGAGATTATATACTCAGCCACTTCATTCTGACAAATCTTTTATTTCTTTATAGATAGATAACTCAAGGTGTTCAAGGAAGAATTTTCTTGAAAATCTAGATGGCCGAGTTTTATAGAAATTGATTAACAGATTGTACTTCTGAGTTTTAGACTGAAGTGATCATTCTACTTCAGATAGGAATGCCGTTGCTTATGTAGCTGATCCACATTCCATATGCAAGAGATACGTATCAGCAGATCCAGAGAACTGCAGTGTTTACAGAAGTGTAGCATCAAAAAAACTGGGGAGAGGGAAGAGAACCCCAGCTTAAACAAATTCTTATGAAGACTTAAGAATGCTGACTGATTGGGATGGGAAAATAACAGCTGGTAGGGGGAATATAGTATTGTGAGGTGGGCATCACAAAGTGCAAGAGTGAAAGGGAGTATACTGGTTCCACTTGTTTCACACATGGCAGCTAGAATCTTATTGAAGTTCATGTGAGGCTTGCATAACTTGCTGTAGCTAATGGCAGTTGTTGAGATGCTGTGGCACATTTCAGTTATGTAGCTGGATGTTCTACCAGCCTGAATGATTAAACATACCACTTATGCAATTTTGGGTTTATACTGTGCAAACTATAGAATTCTGACCACTGTTTTGAAGATGAACCTCTAACTGCAGTTACAGTGTGGGCTATCAAAACTAATACTGTCTGGAATCCTACTTGTGCTCATGTCAAGTTTGCATAATTCACCATGTTTATTTGACAAGGTGCCAATGAGGCATGCACTTGAGACACACACTGCCACCTCATCAATTAGCTGCAATTAGCCATGGCAAGTTGTGCTTATTCAAACAGGATCTGGGTTGGAATTATTTATTTATTTATTTATTATTTTATTTATTATTTTATTTTATTAGATTTATACCCCGCCCATCTAGACAGATAGTCTACCCTGGGCGGCATTACGAAATTTAAAAACAATAGAACCAATGAAATTCAAAAATCCAAGATGTAAAAATGTAAATATTAAAATATAGTAAGAGGGAAAACCTGCATAAATAGCCATGTCTTAACTTTACTTCTAAAGACACCCAGAGAGGGAGCCAGGCGGATCTCTATGAGCAAGTTGTTCCAGAGGTGAGGGGCCACTGCCGAGAAGGCCCGGTTCTTCATTCTTTCCTTCCGGGCCTCGGTGTTAGGCCCCTCAATCGCCTGGCCTGGCTAGAACGAGTGTCTCTGGCAGAACTGGGTGGGAGAAGGCGCTCTGCCAGATATCGAGGTCCTAAACCATTCAGGGCTTTATAAGTAATCATAAGAACTTTGAAATCAACACAGAAACAAATGGGCAACGAATGCAAGGCAGCCAGTGTGGGGGAAATATGTTAGTGCCTCTTCTCCCCAGTTAGAAGTCTGGCCGCAACATTTTGTACCATCTGATGTTTCCACGTCAATCTCAAAGGCAGCCCCACGTAGAACACATTACAGTACAGTGGTGCCTCGCTTGACGAGGATAATCTGTTCCAGCCAAATCGCTGTAGAACAAAATTGTCGTCAAGCGAAAGTAAAAATCCCATTGAAATACAGTGGGGTCTCGACTTACGAACTTAATCCGTATTGGAAGGCAGTTCTCAGGTCGAAAAGTTCTTAAGTCGAATCTGCATTTCCCATAGGAATGCATTGAAAACCATTTAATCCGTATCTGCTCTTTTCGTCCATAGAAACTAATGGGAAGCTGCTATTCCACCTTCTGCCACTAGAGGGGGATATTTTTTCTTTTTTCCTTTTAACCTAAGATGACTTAGCTTTTAAAAAAGGGGGGGAAGAGTTCGTAACTCGAATCTAAGTTCGTAAGTCGAGTCCATATATTCCTATGAGAGCAGTTCATAAGTCGAAACGTTCGTATGTCGAGCCGTTCGTAAGTCGAGACACCACTGTTACATTGAAAACCGATTCAATGCATCCCAATGGGCGAAATACCTCAGCGTCCAGTGAAGATTCTCCATAGGGCGGACATTTTCCGGTGCCTATAATGTTAGGAATCCATCCTAAAACACAGTGGGGAGCCATTTTGCACAGCGGGC